AATTACTAATTCAGCATGCAAGCTTTGTTGTCTTAACCCCATCTCCTCGTCAAGTTATATTGCCCATCTGGGCATTATAGAATTTTCCATATTTCATTTTTTCATTAGCTTTCATCTGAGTAAAAATCCAAATACGCCTACTTTAGAGCAAGGAGGATAACGATTTTCTTGGCATACTTTCTCGGTGATCCGGTTTTATCCATTTCTCTAATAAACTATCGGCTCAGCTCTCGTGGTTTAGCTTATGTCGTCCTAATTCCTCCTCAGCTTTGTTCTGCTCAATCAAGGGAAGCCCAGGGTAGGGAAGGCTGCTCACCACTGATGTGCGGAGGGGAGAGGATACTGCTGCTGCGGCTTGTGAGGAGAGGATGGCGGCTACAAGGAGGCGCATTTCTTGGGTTAACGTCTCATAACGATAGGCGACTCTTATGTTGGGCACATTTGTGCGAGTAATGTCATTGCCCATCACGCCTTCTTCGTGATAATGGGGTCCAAGCCAGTGAGATTTAACCTGTAAATAAAGCGTTCGTAGTTTTATAGGGGGAAGAAGATAACCAGTGTTTTAGCTTAGTAGATTAGGGTTTTAGTCTTCTATAAATATAAAATTATGCAAATAAAAGAATCTGGTTTCACTAGAAAAAACATACTACCTATATACAATTAAAAGTAACCGAAAATAACGACTAAAACATGCAGGCCTAAATATAAAAATTATCAGTGTAGCTGATGTTAGTGCTAAAAGTAAGATATTTGAAGATATGAAGACCAAGATGTTGTGGCTTCTGGTATGGTCGCAGTCTCCTTTCGATATAAAGAAATGGATTGACCTTGTTATCAGGGCGACTAAGTAGAACGCACCTAGTCCAAAGTCGTCTGCCATAGTAGTTGTCATGATTCCCAGCATCAGACAGTGGACGCATTCTAAAACGTTTCGCCGGCATCGGAAGAGGAGTGATAGTGTAACCGTTTTCGGCAGAACGTTTGTCGAGGGATTGACTTCACTTGTCTCTTTGAGAATTCGTAGCTTGGTGCGGAGAATGGCAAAACTCACTGGTGATGCCTAAACGTTTGAGAATGCACCAAGTCCATTGTCTGATCCTGGGAATCATGACAACTACTAAGCCAGTAAACGAGTTTCTACAGAATTCTTTATGTGATTGATAGCAATTCTGCCGATAATGGATTCAAAAAAGACTTAAGGTTTGCAGTGATGTTACCAAGTCATACGTTCAGGAATTCCTTTATCCTCCAGTATAGATTATAAACTTCGGACTAGGTTCGTTCTACTAAGTCGCCCTGACAACAAGAGCAAGTTGTGACAACGAGGTCAACCGACTTCCGTAAGATATTTGAGTTGCAAAAAATAAAACAAGGAACCGGAATTTCGTCAGCTTAATGAATTTTAATGCGCATTCTAAAAAGGCTTAGCTCCTGGAAACTACAGTTGTTTTCATTCCGCTATCATATAGATTTAATGATAAATCTTGTAAGCATTAGTGTCAATTTTAAATGAAAATCTAAGCTTACATACTCATGTCTAGTAAAGTTTTGAATCAATAGACATCCATTGCCTTACAAAATATAGGCACGACAAATTTCATGAACTATAGAAATACGACCATGTTATGGCACTGTTCTGGTTACAGCAAATTGAAGTGAAGTAAACGAGTTTCGACAGAATTCTTTATATGATTGATAGCAATTCTGCCGATATTGAATTTAAAAAAGACTTAAGGTTTGCATTGATGTTACCAAGTCATACGTCCAGGAATTTCTTTATCCTCCAGTATAGATTATAAACTCTACCACACTTCAATATATCATCAGTACTCTAAACAACATAATACTAGGTTAGATGAATTGCAGAAGAAAAAAATCCTCTATAAATTCACCATGTAAGGGAAAAAACGAGATTAGGATTACTCCAACGCAGGCAAGCCTATGTAGAAAAACTGGGTTTCGAAGAATCCCTTAATAGACTGATGTCGGAGTACCTTTCATTTTGTTTGAAGAAGCGAGTAGAAAGGGTTCGTAAGTTGATTTCAACGGAGGCTGTTGTTGTACGAGTAGGTCCTCTCTGCGATTCCCACGAATCCTTGCTGAGCTTTCGTCCGTTACGTGACATGTGATGATTTCCGTCACATGACAGATGAAAGCTCAACAAGGAATCGTTGGGGTCGCAGGGCGGTGCGCCGAGGACTTATTCGCACAAATCTACAACCATAGCTTCAAGGCAACCCTCCCACAACCTCCAATGGAACCAACTTGAGAATCCCTTCCACTCGCCTCTTTAAATGTAATGAAAGATAGACCAACATCAGAAAAGCCTACACTTTGTAACTGAGGTTTAAAAAAAGATAATTTTGTAAAAGGATGCGAATTATGCTTAAAGTGAGGAAATGAGTTGAGTCATTTCTTATTAGTCTTAATGGGTGCATAAATGCCGCAAGCAAGAGAATATTAGGGAAAGTAAGCGAGTGATACAACTTTGATATAAGCCTAAATCCCTTCTTGATCGAGATTTGGACGTGTCTAGGCGCATCGTGTGATTGTATGTGTAACTAACCATGTGGGAAAAACCGCTCATCATAACGCTATTTCTGGCCAGTTCGCACATATCCGTCGGAGTTAACTTCCAGACTTGTGCAGCAATGCTGTACTCCTCGATAAGTGGTTCCTTAGTGAAGTGAAACTGGAGCGGGTCATCAGTGCTAAGGCTGACATTCATGCCACGCATCAGATAGCCGTTGAGCGGGTTGCGATGGTAATCAAGAAAGAGGCTGTTGTTACTGAGTGGGGACATAGCAACGCCAATCTTTGGGAGTAAAGAATGGGTGATTGGGAAATATACAGGTAAAAGGATACATACATTTAAGTAACTTGTTAAAGAGAAAAGACTAATGAGAGACCTCAAGTTGGACTCACATATTATTCGAGAGAAAAGAGTATTAAAAAAATGGACAGCCATAGGGCATTCATGAAATAAATGATCAAGGGAGGCTAGGTAACGAAAATTTTGAATAAAAAATCTCTCACATGGGCGCTTTGCAACCAACTAGACCAATGTACTCTTGTTAATGCCTAAAGCAACTCAAATATTTATTCTTCATTTGATAGCACAAGTTTGTGGTCGGGAATAATGGGGTAAACGATAAGCATAAAGAAAACATTAGTCGTGGCTGCCAAACTAATCTTTTTTATGAGCTAGGAAAACCTACGCAATCTATATAC